TTTTTCTTTTCAAACCTAAGTAATGGATGAAGATATAGCCATCTTTTTAAAGGGAACTTTTTTGAAGAATAAATACATAACATGGGGATGGAGGGAGACTGCTTGCAAAATGTCCTGTAGGTGAACAAATAACCTTTTAGATTTTACTTTTTAATCATCTCGATCATGTGTGCCTATTTGTATTGCAGATATGAACTATTTGGGGGCTAATCACAGTTTGTTTTGAAACTGAAATCTTAACAAATTCCAAGTAACTTTTTTCTTTACCCTCCTTTCCCACTGTAACTATTCTTGCCAAATATTTTCCAAGGCAAAATGATGAGAGCTCTCCAGACCCTCCTCTTCCTTCTCCTCATCCTAGCTCTTAGGCCTGGCCTTGCCTTATCTTTAGTTGGATTTTCCCAAGTAAGAAAAGTTTACTGTAAGCTAGACACCAGTGGCTCATGCCTGTAATCTTAGCTACTCAAGAGCTGAGATCTAAGCTGTTTGAAGCCAGGTGGGGCAGGAAAGTCTGAGACTATTCTCTCCACTAAACTACCAGAAAGCCAGAAGTAGAGCTATGGCTCAAGTGGTAGGGATAGGACCTAGGCCCTGAGTTCAAGCCCCAAGACTGGCACCAAAACAAAATTACTATAGGATTTTTAAAGCTACAGAATTTCAAAATGCTTATAAACCTTTTTTATATGTTTGGTTAATAGTAGAGTGAGTCTGTAGTTTTCTAAGAGGACCAGTAAAGTTATGGAGTGATCTAAACATGGATGCTGCATTTTATTAAGAGGAGTTGTAAATGGTGGGAGGTGGATGGGAGTGCAAGTCTATGACACATGGATAATCACTGTATAATTAAAGCACCAAATGCTGACTTCTATCACTGTGTACTAGGGAGCTGGGCTTTGGATTTGGCTGTTATTTTAACTCAGATACTGTGTAATAATGATAAGCTAAAGGCCAATAAGGTTTTTAAACAAAAGTGCTTATTTTCACTATCTACAGTTTGGTAGTAAATTTTCTATTTTCAATGAAACTGTCTTTCCCTTAAAAATGACTACAAAACTCTTATGGATGAGATTAAAAACTAGAGGAAGCTGGGTTTTAAACAGTTGAGTCACTTCTAACACTTTATGTTAAAGGAAGCAGTCACAGTTGTCCGTGAGCCAAAATGGCACAAAAGTGCCCTGGTGACAGGACTGCGCGTCCCGCGCCATTCCATATACTGGAAGAGTTCTGTGTTGTCTTTATTTATCCTTGATTCAAAAAAAAAAAAATAATGATGGTTTTCGTGTTGCTTAGCTTCAATTTGAAGTGTAACTTTCACTAATAACTGCAATAAAAAGAAAAGCTTTGCTCCAAACTTTGTTGTGTGGTCATCACTAATAACACTAATAGCTAAGGGGAGCTTAGACTTGAGTCATGAAATCCTAGGATCAAACCTTAGCTATGAGACACTGGGCAAATTCCTAGATGCTTCTGAATTTCTTTCCTTTAATACGAAAGAATGTTAATAGAGCTGTTGGCACTTAGTGAGGTAATACATGGAAGTGCTCAGCATATGAATGGAGTTCAGTCTTTAAAGAGGCTCTCTACCTCTCCACAAAAACACTCATTTTCCCTTCTTAAATAAAAAACATCAAGCCAGGCACTGGTCCGCCCTCCCTCCCCCCCCCCCCCCCCCCCCCCCAATCCTGGCTACTCAAGATACTGAGATCTGAGGATTGCAGTTCAAAGTCAGCCCAGACAAATAAAGTCTAGAAATAGAGCTGTTGTCCAAGTGGTAGAGTGCTAGCCTTTTTTTTTTTTTTGGGGGGGGGGGGGGTAGGGGGGAGTCCGGTGGTGGGGCCTGAACTCTGGGCCTTGAGCTCTACCACTTGAGCCACAGTGCCACTTCCAGCTTTTTTTTTTTGGTCGGTCATGGAGCTTGAACTCTGGGCCTGGGCGCTGTCCCTCAGCTCTTGAGATCAAGGTGAGCGCTCTACCACTTGAGCTACAGTGCCACTTCCGGTTTTCTGGTGGTTTATTGGAGATAGGAGTCTCACGGTCTCTCCTGCCCGGGCTGGCTTTGAACCGCGATCCTCAGATCTCAGCCTCCTGAGTAGCTAGGATTACAGGCGTGAGCCACCAGCGCCCGGCTCCAGCTTTTTTTTTTTCTGCTTATGTGGTGCTGAGGAATAGAACTCAGAGCCTCATGCATACAAGGCAAGTGCTCTACCACTGAACCACCTTCCCAGCCCTAGAGTGCTAGCCTTGAGGGAAAAAGCTGAGCGACAGCCCCCAGGCTGAGTTCAAGCTCCAGTACCAGCATTTAAAAAAAAAAAAAAAGGGCTGAGCGCCGGTGGCTCACGCCTGTAATCCTGCTCTGGATCAAGTGGTAGAGTGCTCGCCTTGAGCTGAAGAGCCCAGGGACAGTAGTTCAAGCCCCATGACTGACAAAAAAAAGGGGGGGGGGGGGCCTGGCGCCAATGGCTCAGGTCTGTAATCCTAGCTATTCAGGAAGCTGAGATCTGAGGATCACTGTTAAAAGCCACCCCAGGGGCTGGGAAGGTGGCTCAGTGGTAGAGCACTTGCCTTGAGCTGAAGACCTGAGGGACAGCGCCCAGGCCCAGAGTTCAGGCCCCACAACCAAACCCAAAAAAAAAAAAGCCAGCCCATGCAGGAAAGTCCATGAGATTCTTATCTCCAATTAACCATCAGAAAACCAGAAGTGGTGCTGTGGCTCAAGTGGTAGAGTACTCTCTTGAGCTGAAGAACTCAGGGACAAGGCACAGGCCCAGAGTTCAAGCCCCACAGTCAACCAAAAAAAAAAGGGGGAGGGGGCAGGCACCGGTGGCTCACGCCTGTAATCCTAGCTACTCAGGAGGCTGAGATCTGAGGATCCTGGTTCAAAGCCAGCCCGGGCAAGAAAGGCTGTGAGACTCCTATTTCCAATAAACCACTCAAAACAGGAAGTGGCACTGTGGCTCAAGTGGTAGAGCACTAGCCTTGAGCTGAAAAGCTGAGAGACAGCGCCCAGGCCCAGAGTTCAAGCCCTATGACTGACAAAAAAAAAAAAAAAAAGGTCAGTGGTTCACATCTGTGATGTTAGCTACTCAAGAGATAGAGATTTGGAGGATTGTGTTTTGAGTCTAGCATGGGCAGAAAAGTCCAAGAGACTCTACCTCCAAAATAACCAGCAAATAGCTAGGCTGAATGTGTGCTTAAGGAGTAGAATGCCAGTTGACCCAGCAAACTGGGTGAGCACAAGGCCCTAAATTTAAATTAAAAAAAAAAAAAAAAACATTAGGGCCAAGGCGTAGTGATACAGGTCTATAATGCATAAATACTCTGGAGACAGAAGTCAAAAGATCTAGAGCTCAAGGCCAGCCCAGGCAAAGTTAGACCCTATCTCAAAAAAAAAAAGGGCTGGCGGTGTGGCTGAAGTGGTAGAGTGCTTCCAGGACCTAGATTCACTTCCCAGTACCACTTAATTTTTGTTATTTTTTGCAAATTCTTCATTGTGATTGATTACATAATTTCACAAATTTCACAGTATTGTGGGATAGTGAATACTTAGTTAAAGTCACAAACACATTCTAACTTTCATGGAGCAGTAACACTTCAAAAAAAAAAAAAAGCTGAGCACAGGTGTGGCACATACCTGTAATCCTAGCTACTCAGAAGGCTTAGATCTGAGGATTGCAGTTCAAAGTCAGCCTGGGCAGGAAAGTCTGTGAGACTGTTATCTCCAATAAAGCACTAGAAAACTGGAAGTGGCACTGTGGCTCAAGTGGTAGAGCACTCGTCTGGAGCTGAAGAGCTGAGGGACAGCCCCCAAGCCCAGAGTTCAAGCCCCACAACCAGCCCAAAAAAAAAGAAAAAGAAAAAGCTTAGTAACTTTGTCAGGAAGAGATAGGAATTAGGAGGGCTGGGAATGTGGCTTAGTGGTGGAGTGCTTATCTAGCATGCATTGAAGCCCCGGATTCAGTTCCTCAGTACATAAATTAAAAAAGCAGGAAATGGTGTAGTGGCTCAAGTGGTAGAGTACTAGCCTTGAGCAAGAAGCTCAAGGACAGTGCCTAGACCCTGAGTTCAAGCCCCAGGACTGGCAAAAAAGAAAAAAATAGGGCTTATTTCCTTCCATACAGAATTTAGACCTAAAAATATGTGGGGAGGGAGGAGGATTGGTAAGGAGGAGTAACCAAAGTACATTATATGCCTGTATAGGAATAATCACAATGAGAACACTTTGTACAATTAATGTATTTTTTCATGTGTGTGCCAGGCCTGGGGTTTGAACTCAGGGCCTGGGTGCTGTCCCTGAGGTTTTTTGCTCAAGGCTAGTGCTCTGCCACTGAGCCACAGCTCCACTTAAGGATTTTGGGGGCTGGGAAGGTGGCTCAGTGGTAGAGTGCTAGCCTTGAGCTGAAGAGCTGAGGGACAGTGCCCAGGCCCAGAGTCCAGGCCCCACAACCGACCAAAAAAAAAAAAGGAGTTTGGGTGGTTAAGTACTTATGACCTCCAGAGAGCAAGACAGGCCATCAAGGCACAGTGAAAGGTGAACAAAAGAAGTTTATTTACACTATTTACACCTGAAAGGGGTATTGAAATTATCTTGTCCTGGGCTAGATATCCAGAACCAAGAGCAGCCTCAACCCCCAAACCTCCAAGCCTCCACTAGGCAATCCTGACCCCCCCCCCCCCCCCCCCGACCTTCATTAGTTGGTCTGCAAACCTCCGAACCTCTGACCTCCAACGCTCCAAAGGGGAAGGCTTTCCCCTTTCTTCCCTTCCTGCTCCACTGCGGGCCTCTCCATCTCCACAGGCCTGCCCTGCCCTGCTCCGGGAGGCGCCTCTCCACAGGCCTCTCTAGAGGAAGGTCCCAAAGGGCCTCCCGAGGAGGCCCCAGATGGGCTCCCGAGGCTTGCCCCGCCCTCCACAGGGCCTGCCGGGCTCGGCTTTGGCAGGCTTTCCCTCCCGCAGTCCCGGTCTCCTCCGGTCTCCGCCCAGCCCTCTCCCCGCAGACCTCTCCCCGGCTCCTCCCAACTCCCCTCTCCTCGGGGCTCCAGCTGTCCTCCAGACTCCGCTCTCAGGTAAAAATGTTAGGCAAGACAGGGTGGCAGGGATGTGTGCCCTGTTTGTGTCACATAGAATGATAAAATGACATTTAAATAGACATTTCTGGAAGGAGGCCTGGAAAGGGAGCGAAGCTGAACCCGAGACGCTTACTTCTTCTTTGTAAGGTCCATCGGCATGAATGATCAGTGGGCAAGACGAAATAATCCTGAATCTCTTGGCAGCGCACCCCCGCCCGGGAGGCCACCTCCTTCCAGGCCTCACGCAGCAGGGTCACCCCGCAGGTGACAAAGCGGGGCGGGCGTGGTCGCCCAGCAACCGCAACCGGAGCGCCACACAACAGAAGCCTGGAGAGAGCGAGAAGAGGGGAGGTGGAGGGGAGCGACGCGGCGAGACGCAGCCTGAAGCCACCTTCTCCTAACTCTGTGTCAGGTATTTAAACCCCCGCCAGAACCCTGCTCCGCGAAGGGGCCCTGCTGGGCAGCCAGGCTCCTCACAAACGTGGACCAACTCGACCCTGCTCTTCCTCCCATCTAGGTGGGGCCGTGGGGGCGGGGACGGCGCTTTCCCCCACCGGCTGTCTGGTGCCAGCCCCTGTGCGCCAGCCACATGGTACTAGAGAGGGATCAGGGCTCCTGCTCGGCAGATCCCCACCAGCCTGGTGTGCAGCCTGGAAGAGGGTAAGAGAGCAAGCTCACTGGAGTGCTTGTAGCAAAGAGGGGTGGAAAGTGGATTAAGGATTATTTTTCCTGCCAACCCCATTTGGTGGGAAGGAAGGACCCCATTCTTCCCATTACCTGCTCCAAGCTGTGCCTTCAGAGGGACCCACCCGGTGGAAATCCAGCTACATAGCCAAATTGCTCCATACAACTCTATCCAGCAGAGTGCCTGCAGGAAGAGCCCACCAGGACAGGCTTACTGCCCCCCAAGGGTGCATTTGAGCCTGTCTACGGCACCTTTCCCTCTGCAGGTTGTATCTTGAAACAGGCCTAGGAATTTGAGATCATGGCTACGCTGAGTCTCAAGCCAAGCCAGCGCTTCCAGCTGCCTGAATGGAACACCAACACCTACTTGTTGTGCAGCAATGCAGAGCAGCAGCGAGAAGCTTGCCATCAGATCCGCCAAGAGGCGCGAGTCCTCCGCAGTGAGACCAACAACCAGGTTGGGGACCAGAGTGGAGTTATATAGGTCCAAGGAACCAAGGATAGCCACACATACACAACAATTTCTCTCTCTCTCTCTCTCTCTCTCTCTCTCTCTCTCTCTCTCTCTCTCTCTGTGTCTTCCAGACTATTTGGGATGAACATGACAATAGTACGAGACTATCAGAGAGGATCGAGACTGTCAACCGATGGAAGGAGATGCTGGACAAATGTCTTATGGACTTGGATGCTGAGATTGACACCCTGATACAGGTAGAAAGCCTGACTGAATGCCAAGACACTGCTGCAAAGATTGACCCTCATGCCCCACTTCCAGGTCTGGGAACCCTTGAAGATGAGGGGGGGGGCGCGGAATGGGGAGGCACAGTCATCTGACTCACTCAACTAGTCCCCTCTGCTAAAGTAAGGATAAGAACACCTTCCAGGGCATGGCCCCCCTTGCCTCCCATCCTCCTCTTCTCTAGATGAAGGAATCAGCAGATCAACACCTGCAGGCCAAAAACCTGCCTCTGGATGTGGCCATCGAGTGCCTAACCCTCCGGGAGAGTCGGCGAGACATTGACTTGGTGAAGGACCCTGTGGAAGATGAACTCCTTAAAGAGGTGGAGATCATTGAGGCCAGCAGGAAGGCCTTGCAACAGAAGGTCAATGAGGCCTTCGAGCAGCTCTGGTAAGAATGAGGAAGACAAGTTTACATGCATTTGAGACTTGAGGTCTTGAATGTGCAGCAAAGCTTTGCGGGTAATGAGGAACTGGCTCCTGTATTACTTTTTGTCCCTCCAAGTGCTCCTGAAAGAAACCACTAATTGCCTGTAGTACTTTTTCCACTGTCTGGACCTAGTCTCAGAATCTTTATCAGGATCCCACTCTAGGCAGCCATTCTCACTTGATGGGAAGCATGGAAGCTGAAGTCCACTTGCCACTACCCTGAGTGGCTCATCATGAGTGTACATGTGAGCCTTTGTGAGTGTGACCACATGGTGTACCCCACAGATGTGTACAAGCACTCAAGAAGCATAACGGTGTTCTCTGGGAAGCCCATCCATCTCCACACAGGTCTCCAGCTCAGTTGTGGCAGGAACTGCATTATCTTCTGCTGGGAAAGCTTCCCAGACCTCCTCCTACTCACTCCCCCAGAATTCCCATAGTACAATGAGGACTGCATCCCCAGCCTGGCAGGGCTAGGGCCTGGCAGATCACCTTCTGATCCAATCTTCTCTTTTCTCCAGTCTCCTGCAAGATGTTCGACAGCAGCTCAGCTCTGACCATCGGGGCAAAATGGAGACCTTGGAGATTGATAGAGGTTGTCTCTCTCTCAACCTCACATCCCCAAACATCTCCCTGAAGGTCAACCCCACACGCATCTCCAACAGGTAAGCGGAATGTTTCAGTCACACTTTTCCATCTCGCAGGGGCCACACCTCATGACTCTATTAATCATTTCTTGCCACTGCAGCTCCCTCACACTCCAGCAGTGGGATGACACCAGTCGGTTCAACAAGAAGCATGCAGAGGCTGAGATGAAAGCTGCTTCAGAGCTGAGGGAGGCCATCAGCCTAACTATTGTTCAGGTGATTGAAACCCTGCAGCCTGCTCTCCACGGCCAGTGAATGGCCGACGTGTGCACTCAGTGTTTACCTTTAGTTCTCTGTTGATGCTACAGCACCTCTCCCTCCACTTAAACAGCATCCTCCTAAAACCAGGAGTTTACATCTTTCCCTTGCCTGCTCTCCTGTTCTGCAGACCAACAATGAACTCGAAGCCCAGAGAGTAGCTACAGAATTTGCCTTCAGAAAGCGGCTGAAGGAGATGGAGAGACTTTACAGTGATCTCAAGTGGCAAGAGAATAATGTGAGCCTACCCCTAGAACCCACATGCTGTTGTGTGTGTAGAAGAGGTGCCAGTGCCTTACCCAAAAGCTCTAGACTTGGACCCCCAGCATGAGTCCAATAGGTAGAGAATAGTCCCTTTATCCACTGCAGACTTTGGAAGAGATTGAAGAGATGAAGAAGGATATCCGGCACTTGGAGGATGATCTGCACAGAAAAATGATGAACCTGAAGCTGGTCCATAGCCGGCTGGAATCCAGAACCTTTCGGCCCAATTTGGAGCTCTGCCGGGATGAGGTACGAAGGTCCCCAGTAGGATATAAGTCCTCTTGTTAAGCTTTTCTCAGGATCACCTCCAGCATATGCTTCTGGTAGAGTAAACCTGGCTTCCCAAGGCACCCCTCGGGCTCACTGACCTTGGAAGCCTCATTCTGCTCCTTTGCCTCCAGGTACAGTATGGCCTTATTGATGAGGTCCACCAGCTAGACACAACCATTGCCATAATGAAGGAGAAGCTGGCTCAGACACTGTAGGTTTGGGAAGTAAATAGGAGGGTGGGATGGTGGTCTATCTATAGGGCCTCTTTCTGCCCAGTGGTTCTTTTGGCTTGAAACTGGTGAGCGCAGCCCAGCCATCCCAACCTCATGCAGAGATGAGTTACCATTGCCTCTTCCTCTAGAGATGCTCTGGATACCCTGTACAAGCACCTGGCCCGACTGCAGGCTGCCATTGCCTGTAAGGCCAACTCCATGCTGCTGGACAAAAAGTGCTTGGACATCCGACGGAAGCTGGTTGTGCCTACTGAGAAGTATGTGCCCCAAGTGGACACCTTCACCCGGACCACAAACCGTGTCCTGAGTCCACTCAAAATTGGCCACCTGCAGCTGACCTAGCATTAGGAAACAAAGGAAGGTTGGGTGGGAAATGGGGAAGTGGGCGAGGGGAGAGTGAATCTAATAAACATGGAGACTCTCAACTCCGGCTTTTCTCTGTAGCAGGGAGGGAGAAGGTTCTTGACCCTCTCATGTCAGCCTCTCAAATTCCACCTGCCAAATTCAATTCCCTTAGGGAGGCCCCCTCTTTGGGCTAGGGCAGCAACACCTGTGCCCTAGCAGCTGGCTTCCATCCAGCTTCTCTCCAACTGATGCCTTGCTGGCCCTTCTGATACCCACAGGGAGGCTAGGATCACACGGAGAGGACTTGGGACTGGGGTAGTCTTGGCCCAAGTGGAGCCAAGAGCTAGAAGAACTGTCCCAGGAGGGATGAGGTGCTTCCCAGAGGGAAGAGCAGCCTGAAGTGACCTGATGATCTGGCTCAGTGTTCACCTTTTCAGAACCATTTAGTGGTCACCTGATTGTGAAGCCATTTAGAAGGATGGGGAGTCGGAAGTGCACCTGGTGGCGATTTACCTCTTCTGGCCGCTGGGCGGCGCCGCGATCCGGGGAGCGGCTTGGAGGCTCTTGGCCACTGGGGGGTGCCTTGTGGTCGTAGGAGGAAGGGGTCGGGGCGGCGGCGCCGGAAGTGACGGCTGATTTGTGCGCGGATGGCGGCGGCGGCGGCGGCGGCGGCGATGACGGCCACGGGTGGTGGTGGTGCGGGCGCGGCCCGCTCCCTGTCGCGCTTCCGAGGCTGCCTGGCCGGCGCGCTGCTCGGGGACTGCGTGGGCGCCGTCTACGAGGCGCACGACACCGTCAGCCTGACGTCAGTCCTGAGTCACGTCCAGAGCCTGGAGCCGGACCCCGGAACGCCGGGCAGCGCGCGGACAGGTGCGCCGGGCCTGCGCCTGCGCGGGGGGCTCCGCGGAGGGCGCTGAGCGGGGGTGCGAGAGGACCAGGCCCCGAGGGTGGCGGCCCGGCGGAGGACTCTGCGTGCCTAGGCCTGTGCCTCCCTCCCACGCTCCGCCCAGAACGTTCTGGCGCTCGGTGCAAGCCCGGCCTGGCGCGGGGCCTCCGCGTGCACGTCCCTTGCCCACTGGGCCCGTTGTGTTGTCCTTCCAGGAGTCCGCCCGCTCACCCTCCTGCACGCAGCAGGCCCGGCTGTCCCCCAGCCCCGCCTGACCCACAAGTCCCGCTTCCCCAGTTCCCCCAGGCCCGGCGCACCGGGCTCTTCGCACACGGTGCTGACCCAGGCAGAATTTTGCCTGCGCAGTCCCTTCCTGAAATGCCATCTCCCCCGTTGTGAGGAGCTGGTCATCGGCTCTCAACCTGCAAGTCGTGTCTAAGCTAAGACAAAGGATCTGATTATTCTTCAGGAGCACGTAGAAAAGTAGGAATGGGGGTGTGGTCAAAACCCGCGCACACCCTGTGTGTAAGAGGAGGGAAGGAAACCATTTATTAGGAGAAGCAAGTGGGCAGCAACCAACCTGAAGACAGTATTGCAAGATGGAGACACTGGTGTCTTGCAACAGAGAGGTTAAGGAAAGTCTAGATTAGTAAAGTGCGTGTTCAGGGCGTCGAGGGGGAAATGGAAAATGAAAAGATCGTATAGTGGGGTATGCAGGGAGGATCAGAGAGGAGCTCTCCCAACTGGAGGCTCCCTGGTCTGCCTTAGATCAGCTGAGGTATGGGTGGTGGGAAGAGAGAAGAGCAGCTCCCTGCCTGGGGAAGAGCCAGGATTCTATGGCCAGACATACTATTGCCTGGAAGAGGGTGAGGTTGAGGGTAAAGGAGAGAGACAATGGGAGAGTGAGGCCCCTGGGGAAACTGGCTAGGGTGACCTTCACTTTATTAGGAGAGACTCACTGCCTCTGGAGTGGAGCCTGGAAAGTACAGTTTTGAGTAAAAGCTGTTAGCTGCTCTTCCAGTGAAGTAGAAGTCAGAGCCACCTCAGAGTGAAAGGCTGGCTTTACAAACTTAACTGTGTAAGGAATGGGTGAGGGGCTTACTAAAAACTTGCTCTTCATTACTCTTCATACTCTTCATTCTCAAAGCTATGGCTGGTAATAGTTCGTTTGAATAGTCCATGTTAGAAGTTTTAGAGCATAGCCAATGACAGTGGTACGTACCTGTACTCCCAGCTATTTGAGAAGCCAAAGTAGGAGGATTGTGAGTTCCCATCCACCTTGGTAATTGAGTCCCTGTGTGTGTGTGGGGGGGGGGGGGGGGGGAGTGTCTGAACTTAAGGTCTCCCTTAGCCCTTAGCTTTTTCACTGGAGGCTAGCACTCTACTACTTGAGCCACATTTCAATTTTTGGCTTTGTTGTGGGGGAGCAGATAATTGGTGATAAAAGTCTTATGAACTTTACTGCTTGGGCTGGCTTCAAACCATCATCGTCAGCCAGGGGCTGCTAGCTCACACCTGTAATCCTAGCTACTCAGGAGGCTGAGATCTGAGGATTGTGGTTTGAAGCCAGTCTGGGTAATGAAGTTCTTAAGACTCTTATCTATAACTAACTGCCTGAAAAACTGGAAGTGGCACTGTGGCTCAAAGTGGTAGAGTGCTAGCCTTGATCAGAAAAGCTCAGGGACAGTGCCCAGGCCCTGAGTTCAAACTGCACAACCGAAAGAAAAAAATCCTGATCTTCAGACGTCAACCCCCAAATATCTAGATATAAGTGTGAGCACTGGGGTCTGTCATACTCTAAGCAAAATTTAAAAAGTGTGGAGGAGGGGCCAGCCCTATTTGGGAGGACCTGAGGCTTGGCTGCCAGGATTAGTTTTCAGCAAGTGCTAGGGAGCAGTAAGTAGGTGGTTGAGGAAGGAAGGGCCATGCTGGGAAGGGCTTTAGAGGCCAAGCCTATGAATTGGAATCTCATCCTGAAGGCAGCAACCATTTTGTGTGTGTGTGTTGAGGGGGCAGGGGTACTAGAGCTTGAATTTAGGGCATGGACACTGTCCCTGAGTTTTTTTGCTCAAGGTTAAACATCCAGTCATCTTGAACCATAGAGGAAGAGGAAGAAGGTAGGGATTGTCTGACTGCATGGATATTGCATTGCGGTAGTCTTGGAGACATGAGAGACTAAGCAAGTCATATTGAGTAGAGCTGCTCTAAGGGACAGCCAGAAGGACTGAGAGGATTCCCTTCAGAAATGTAGCACATTGGGCTGGGAAGGTGACTCAGTGGTAGAGTGCTTGCCTTGCATGCCTGAGGCCATGGGTTCGATTCCTCAGCACCACATAAGCAAAAAAGCCGGAAGTGGCACTGTGGCTCAAGTGGTAGAGTGCTAGCCTTGAGCTGAAATGCTGAGGGACAGCACCTAGGCCCAGAGTTCAGGCCCCACGACCGGACCCAAAAAAAAAAAAAAGAAATGTAGCACATGGTGTGAGTAATTTGCAATGAAAAATTTCTGGAAATCCCAAGGCTAACCATGGAGGCTTCTTAGAGCCTATGTAGCTACACAGGTGAGAGACTGATACAAAGTCACTGTAGACATATCGTACCTTGAAGGAATGAGCTGGAGCCTATTTTCCTGGTCCACAGCCTGCTCTCACTCCCTGCTCTCTCCCTGCAGAAGCACTGTACTACACAGATGACACAGCCATGACCAGAGCCCTGGTGCAGTCCCTGCTGGCCAAGGAGGCTTTTGATGAGGTGGACATGGCTCACAGGTGAGGGGGATGGCCCTGGGGTGAGTCAAGCCAGGTGGGCAGAGCTGCTGAGCTGCTCCACAGAGGGATGATGTCTGTACGTGTCTGGGACCCTCACCCTCAGCAGGACCCTTTCTCCAGTTGATGCAGATTCACAAGCTAAAATGGCAGCACTGCTGGTACAGGTACCTTAGGTCTCCCAGGCCACCTCCTCCAACCCAACCCATCCATTTCTTCCAGCCCCAAGAAACATTTTTGAAATTACATTCTGCCTTCCTTCTCCCTGATAGATTTGCCCAAGAGTATAAGAATGACCCTGATAGAGGTTACGGAGCTGGAGTCATCACTGTCTTCAAGAAACTCCTGAGTCACAAGTGCCATGATGTCTACGAGCCTGCTCGGGCCCAGTTCAATGGAAAGGGGTCCTATGGCAATGGGGGCGCCATGCGGGTAGCAGGCATCCCCCTGGCCTATAGCAGCATCAAAGATGTTCAAAAGGTATTGGGCAACTGCCCCTGGGATTCTCCAACTCATCTGCAGTGGTATTCTGGTAATGATTCCTTCTCTCCCTAGTTTGCTCGTCTCTCAGCCCAGCTGACCCATGCTTCCTCCCTGGGTTACAACGGTGCCATCCTGCAGGCTCTGGCTGTGCACCTGGCTCTGCAGGGTGAGTCCTCCAGCGGGCGCTTCCTGGAGCAGCTCCTGGGCCACATGGAGGAGCTAGAAGGGGATGCCCAGTCAGTCTTGGCTGCCAGGGAGTAAGTATAAGTTGGTGGCGGGACAGCATGGGGACATCTAGCATTGCCCAAAGCAAAACCTGCCTTCTTTCACTGCAGACCTTAGGGAGGGTGGGAAGAGGCCCTTTTGGCTCAACTGGATTGTTAGAGTACCTGTGGGAGCCTGACCTATCCTGCTCACTTTCCCATGAAGCCCTTCTACCTGTTTGTCTGTCTGCTAGCTCTGACTTACCTGAAATTTCTCTCCAACCTCAGGTTGGGTATGGAGGAGCGTCCATACTCTAGCCGCCTGAAGAAGATTGGAGAGTTGTTGGACCAGGACTCAGTGAGCCGAGAAGAAGTGGTGTCTGAGCTAGGTAGGTAGACTTTGCTGGTGATTTGTTCCTCAGATCCAGGGTAGAAGGGAAGCACAGAGTTGTGCTTGCTATCCACTTTAACCCTGGGCTGGTAAAACAACGAGAGCCTTCCTTGTAGGGCCCATGGCAGGGTTGTGAACACGGTGCCCTCAGCCTTGTAGATTGGTGGCCCAGAGCAGCCGCTGATTGCCAATTTCTTTTTTTTTTTTTTTTTTGCCAGTCCTGGGCTTGAATTCTGGGCCTGGGCACTGCCCCTGAGCTCTTCAGCTCAAGGCGAGCACTCTACCACTTAAGCCACAGTGTCACTTCTGGCTTATGTGGTACTGAGGAATTGAACCCAGGGCCTCATGCATGCAAGGCAAGCGCTCTACCACTGAGCCACCTTCCCAGCCCCTGATTGCCAATTTCTGCAGCCAGTGTCATAACGGTTTTTTATTTGCCTACCACTTCTCTGTGTCCTAGACATATTCAGAATGCCTCACAGATGTGACCTGAATCCTCTCCACAGCTCTGGGAGAAGGATTAACTTTATTCACTCCGCACTGAGGAGTGAAAGCCAAGAGCAGGACAGTCAGTGAGTGTCCTTTCCCAGCCTGCAGCCAACCTGATGGGGGAAAGTCACTCCAGGAGGTGCACTGTGGAGCCTAGGTTCTTGGGTTGGCGCTTAGCAAGTGGCAAGAAGCCTGGTGCTGGGGGGCAAGTCATTCCCTGTGGTCCAACTTCCCCACAGGGAATGGCATTGCTGCCTTTGAGTCTGTGCCCACCGCTATCTACTGCTTCCTGCGCTGCATGGATCCTGACCCTGAGATTCCCACTGCCTTCAATAGCCTCCAGAGGACTCTCATCTATTCCATCTCACTCGGTGGGGACACAGACACCATTGCTACTATGGCCGGGGCCATTGCTGGTGCTTACTATGGGATGGATCAGGTGCCAGAGAGCTGGCAGCAGAGTTGTGAGGGCTATGAGGAGACAGACGTCCTGGCCCAGAGCCTACACCGAGTCTTCCAGAAGAGTCTGTGAAGGCCACAGCTGCTGAGCTTCTGCCAGGTGCCAGAAGGACCAAACACAGCTCAGAGTGAAGGTTCCTTCAGCTGTTTCCCCTGCCTTGATCTTTCTGAAGCAGAGCCTGGACCTCACCTCTTAAGGCTAGGGTCTTGAGAGGTCCCAAGAACAGTAAGTAGGGACTGGTGCCTCCTTACTGCTGGGGTTCTGGCTTTCTGCAGAGCCATGGGCCCCCACGAGTCATCAGTGAAACATGAAGGGACCCGGGCAGGTTTTATTTAGAAGAGTACTTGTGACATTTGCTTTTTCTTTTTGTCTGAGACATGGGATCTGGAGAGGAGAAATAATCTGCTGTAGCATCATTCCTCCCTGTTGGTTGTTAGCCAACTTGGCAGATAGCCTGTCCTTGACTGACAGGGTCCCCAACAGCAGGTTGTTTGGACAAGGGACAAACATTTGCACCCAGCCTCTCTAGGTGCATACATAGACCTTGTCTGTAATGGTTTGTGACAGCTTCCAGTGGAATTCACCGCAATAAATGTTTTTTTGGTAAATCCTGGTTGTTTCTTTCTCTTTCTCTCTTCCCTGGTAGCTTGACCTTCTCAAGCCTAATGTAGTGCTTCTGTCTGGGCTGCACTCTCTGCAGTGCTGGGACCCCAAGGAGACAGGTGCTTTGTTGTCAAGAAAAGTCTTCCAGTTCCCCCAGCCTGCCTTAAGGACAAAGCAGGCATAACGTGGTGGCTTTTCCTGTGGGAAGCCACAGAGAGAGGCCCAGGCAGTTGCCGACATGCTTCCCATAGGCAGTGGGTAGGAACAAGTCAGATTACCCTAACTTCCTCAAATAGGAGCTAGGCCAACTAGGCCAGGATTGGGATTCTGTGGAAGATGGGGTGGCACCTGTCACTGATTGGGAGGGAGGTGTGTCATCCTAGGTGTAGCCTCAACGCTGTTTGCCTCTTGTCTTGATACCTATCTGAAGTCCTCTCCCCGCAAGGAGATTTTGCACAGCATCCATTTTGAAGAACAGTTAGGTGAGAAGAAGACACTTCCCCTAAACCATGGGGATGTCCTAAGTTGTGTGGGGTGGCCTACATCTGTAATCCTAGCACTCAGGAAGCTGAGGTAGGATTGCCAGTATAAGGTCAGCTACATAGGGAGACCCTAACTCAAAGGAAAACAAGGGACATTCTCTTCAGAAGCTTCCAGGCTTGGTGAAGGAAAGGCTAGGGCAGACTACAGAGCCTTTGCTGTTTCAGGTCAGTTGCCCTATATTTCCCCAGTCAGGACAGGTCTGTATGCCAACTGCTGAGCGCAGTTGGCTGTGAACAGTTGCTTTCTACCCAGGACAGTATCCCTAGCCCCATCCTCAGCACTGGGCCTGGCTCTGGCCTTGCCCTCAGGAGCAAAAATTCACAATTTCATAATTTGTATCAGATGTCAAAGTTTTGCCCTTGGGATTCTGAGCTAGCGGCCATGCTCTACTACCCCTGAGGGATTACAGGAATATTCTGATGAAGTTCAATCTGTCTCTCCCAGCTCCAGCTACTGCCCTTTAGTTTTTTGGTTGTTGTTTTGGTGCTAGTCCTAGGGCTTGAACTCAGGGCCTGAGTTCTGTCTCTGAGCTTCTTTTGCTCAACTCTACCACTTGAGTGACAGCTCTACTTCTGACTTGTTTTGTTTTGTAGTTTATTTATTTTGCCAGTCCTAGGGCTTAAACTTGGCCCGGGCACTGTCCCTGAGCTCTTCAGCTCAAGGCAAGGCTCTACCACTTGAGCCACTGTGCCACTTACAGTTTTTGGTGGTTAATTGGAGATATGGAGTCTCATGAACTTTCCTGCCCGGGCTGGCTTTGAGCTGTGATCCTCACAGCCTCCTGAATAGGATTACAGGCGTGAGACACTGGCACTTAGCTTGTCCCTGAGCTTCTTTTGCTCAAGGCTAGCACTCTACCACTTGAGCCAGAGCCATGTACAGCTTTTTCTGTTTATGTGGTACTGAGGAATCAAACTCAGGGTTTCATGCATGCTAGGCAAACACTCTACCACTAATCCACATTCCCAGCCCTTTTTGGTAGTTTAGTGGAGATAAAGGAGTGTCACTGACTTTTCTGCCTGGGCTGCCTTTGAACCATGATCCTCAGCCTCCTGAATAGCTAGGATTACATTGTGAGCCACTGTTGCCCAGCTACCCGTTGGTTTCTTAAAATGCCTCTTGGTGCTTGCACAAGGTCTTTGCTACATGGGAACATCTAAGGTTTCTGATGTGATGACAGAAGCCCAGGGTGGAGAGCTGGTGAGGAACGCACTTGGTAACAAGAGCCCAGAGAAGTCCTTGGACCTTCCTTGCTGCCTCTGCATAATGCAGTGTCAGCACGGTGCTGTTTTATACAACAGATTTTATTGAGGTCATGTCAACACAATAGTGTAATTTTTTTTCTTTTCAAAAAGAAGTCCTGTCTTTGGCTCCTGGTACAATTTTCTGAATCACTGACACAGGGTAAATGATAAATAGAGAACTAAATTCCTATACCAGATTGGAAATGAAATAACTAGTGGAAAACACTTAAACCTTAATCTTAAAAAAATGAGAAGCAGGATATTAAAAATGTACAAGGTAATGTAGTTTTCATAGTTAGAACCTGACATTGTTTATCAAAGCTAGTCAAAGGACACCTGCAACTCACATCTCATAAACATTTCAGAAATGTCTGCCACCTTCCCTAAAGGCTTGTGGAATCCCATGGAGCTAGCTCTGAAGCCTTCTTTGTTTGCCTTCCCCGGTGCCTACTTGTTTCCTGGGAAGCCCACTGTGACCTGGTTGATTTCTGCCCATCAGAACCGCTCCCTAACACAACAGGTAAGTGGTTTTGACCCGGGGAAGGTTAACTCCTTAAGTTGGTTCTCTAGGGTGTTAGGAAGAAATGCACCATGAGCCCCAGCCAAAACCTTTTCTCCCAAAAAAGTCACTCGGGCAAGTCTAGGATTGCTTCTCTCTCTTTAGGAATCATTGGAGAAATTGGGGGAGGGAAAGGGGTTGGCACACAACCTGAGGAACCACAGCTTAGAGAGTCAGAAATCAGCCATCCTCTGCCTTCATGGACAGTTGAGTGGGCCTGAATTGGAACAGTGCAACAAGATCACTTACAAGTGACCAAGGCTCACACTTGGTATGGAGATATGGGCAGGCTTAGAGGAGGCTATGAGCACCAAGCAAAGACCATCTGTGCATGGACAGCAACTGTCCCATCACCTCAGCCAGCCAGCCTCCTGCAGAGGCACTGATGGGGAGCGGAGGAGGATGGCAGAAACATTCCAGTTCCGCCTGTTGGCTGCCTTTCAGGGCCTTTGCCTTCTGGGCCCTAACCTGCTTACATCAGGAAATTGCAGAGAGTGGAGGGAGAAGTCTCCTACAGATTATCCCTCTGGTAGACACAACCCACCCTGTGGTTCTTATTCAGCCTTCATCCTCAAGCTTCTATGTCCCCTGTTTAGAGCACCAAATGAGAGGCTCTGCCTTGGGGACACTGGTTGGGGGTGGCAAGGATCCCTTAAAAATTTGGAATGAGAGGGCTGGGAAGGTGGCTCAGTGGTAGAGCGCTTGCCTTGCATGCCTGAGGCCCTGGGTTCGATTCCTCAGCACCACATAAGCAGAAAAAAAAAAAGCCAGAAGTGGTGCTGTGACTCAAGTGGTAGAGTGCTAGCCTTGAGCTGAAGAGCTGAGGGACAGCGCCCAGGCCCAGAGTTCAGGCCCCACAACTGGACCCAAAAAAAAAAAAAAAATTTGGAATGAGAAAACCAGGCCAGTCCAGCAGGTAAAAGGAAGAGTATTCTTGTCTGATCATCAGTCCTGCTCTATGACATGATCTGTGCAGATACTTCAGTATGATCTTTCCAGCACATAGCTGGCCTGCTCACTGCCCTCATCCTAAACAGGACCAGCACAAGGATGGGGAGAAGCTTGGGAGATGGAGGGAAGAGCTACTGACCTGCCCCCAGCCCAATGCCCTACCTCTCCCAGACTACTTTTCCCCATGTCTGTGGCCAAAGCCTTCCCAGGATCCTGCAGAAGGTCATAAAATTGTCCCAGCCAGGATAGGCCCAATGATGTCACAGCACCACCTGGGGGTTGCATTAGCAGCAGGGTGTCCACACCACCTCCATTGCCTCCTTTTCCCAACTGTCCTACACGGGTGTTCCTGGGGAGCCAGAAGAGCCCCAGCCTCCTAAGACTGACTGTGAAGGAGCCTATACCCCATTTCTTGAGCAAGGATCCCCATCCCGTAAGTAGGTGCCATCCAGGGGCCAGCAGGAAGGGCTGTTTCCCTCAGAGGATGGATGGGGAGCTCAGCCCCCTCTGGCTGAGCCGGTTTATCGGGGCCCAGCAGCAGCCAGGACATACATAGGGACTGGACTGAATACCTGGGTTCCTGCCTGCAGACCAGGCAGGGCAGGAACAGGGGTTCAACTCCCTTACTGCACAGACATCTGGGGGAGAAGAACTCAGGCCAACCCCTTCTGGTAAAGCTCTCGGCCTGCACATGGGAAGCAAGTCAGTCTCCTCCAGCCAAGGCTACGGCCGCCTCTGTTCAGCCTCTGGCTGTTCTCTTTAAATGGAGGTCTTTGTAACTGAAAGGTTGCTCTACCACTAAAGAGGAGGAGGCCTGGACAGCAGGGCCCCCACGGGTTATGTGGGGCAGAGCAAGAATCCCGAAAAGGAAGAGTGGATGTACTTGGTGGAGTAGAGGCCATTGGCCTGGTCCGAGGGCATCTGCACCCAGACTTGGTCGTTAGGCTGCAGCTGGAGCACGGCCCCACCAGATGCCTGGTCCAGGTAGCCCTTCTTGTATTCGTCGTAGGTGTAGGTGGCTGGCACGTTGTTCTTGTACAGAGCCACCCACACGTTGGTGCCCTTGACGTGTACATGGTAAGCAAAGTAGTAGACGCCGCCCACCGGGCAAGTGAAGATGCCAGTGGCCGGGTTGTAGCCGCTGTGGCCGTTGTAGAGAGTCCGGTCAAACTTCACTGGCATGCCGGAAGCAGGGAAGGGTGAGGTGAGCACTGCGGTAAAGGCTGGTGTGCTATGGGCAGACAGCTCACCCAACCCAAACTGTGGCTTCCCCTTGCCCAGCACAGCGCCCTCTACCCCGCCATTGGGCAGGTGCAAGCCTGCGATGCCAGTCTCATCAAAGGCCCCAGGGGCTCCAGGGGGGCCGGGAGGCCCAGGAGGCCCAGGAGGGCCGGTGAGTCCTGGGGAACCTGGGACTCCAGGGGGCCCTGTGGGCCCAGCAGTGCCAGGTTCTCCTACTTTCCCCTCTCCCGGGGGTCCTGGCAGGCCTGGCTCACCCTTCAGGCCTGGAAGACCCTGGGGCCCGATAGGACCAGCTGGGCCCTGGAGTCCTGGGATTCCTGAGGGGCCCCTCAGGCCAGGCTGCCCAGGGAGCCCCAGCTCACCTTTCTGCCCTAGGGCTCCTGCCACCCCTGGTCCTCCGGGGCGGCCTGTGAACCCTGGCTCACCTTTGGGCCCGGTTGGTCCAGGAGGCCCATGGGCCCCAGGAAGTC